AAACCCTAAACCCTAAACCCTAAACCGCCGAGCTTGTGTGTATCCCCCAGGACCAAGCCCTCATACAAAAGGGGTCGCGGGCGTTTGTCTCCTTTATACGAGCATACAAAGAACACCAACTCTCCTTTCTTCTCCCCTTTGCGGTGGGGCTTTCTCAGCAGCAGCAGCAGCAGCAGCAGCAGCAGCAGCAGCAGCAGCAGCAGTAGCAGTAGCAGCAGCAACAGATGCTTGTGTGCAGGGGAGGGGGGGTTCCAGCCCTCCCTGGTAGTGTGGGGTGTGTGTTTATGGGTGGGGTTGCTTAGACACCTTGTCTCTGCGTATGCTGCCGCTGCTGCCTCTGCTGCTGCTGCCTCTGCTGCTGCTGCTGCTGCTGCTGCCTCTGCTGCTGCTGCTGCTGCTGCTGCTGCTGCAGGAGCTGAATCTGGGTCGTTTGGGTACAGCATTTCGGCTGCTGCGGTTGCCGCGCATGCGCGAGGTGGTGGGGAGGAGCCTGAAAGACTTTAAACAAAGCCCCATAGACCCTGCATGCGTTCCTTATAGATACGATGCAGCACGAGAGCAGCAGAGACAGCAGCAGCTGCAGCAGCTGCATGCAAAGAGAGAACAGCAGCAACTAGAAAAAGATAAAAGAAAAAGAAAAGAAGAAAAAAAACTACAAAAAAATAACGGAGACAAAAAAAAACAAAAAAGAACAACCAGTGAAAAAAGACAAACAAAACGGTATACATATTATATGCATGCATATGCATGCATGCACAACATAAAAAATAAATAAATAAATAAATAAAATAAATAAATAAATAAATAAATAAATAAATAAAATAAATAAATAAATAAATAACAATCCATCGATTTGTTATCTCCGCATACACACAACTGAAGAGACAGTAGAGACAGCAAGATAAAAGAATGGGGCTGCATGCACAACCTCTCCCTGCATGCATGCATGCATACATGCATGTGTTGGGGCTTTGGGGTGTATGTACAGCTGTTGTTTGTTTGTTGTGTACAGGCGGAATGCACTGGAGGAGTGGAGAGAGCTGGCGTTTGAAGGTGGGGCTGTTGTCTCTATAAACATACAACATGCATGCATGCATGCATGCATGCATGCATGCATGCACATGTTTTTCTCTATACATGCATGCATGCATGCATG